TTTTTCCCTTGTGCTTTTGGCCACGTCCAACCAGGGAAAGGCCCTCCCCCTCCGGCACCGCAGCGCCCGCGCTCCCGGAGCATGGCCCCCCCTGCCCCTGCCCCTCCGCCGCGGCTGCAGCTGCCGCGGACCCCGAGCGTCTGACTCCAGACGGAGGCGGCGCAGCGCCGGGAGCCACCGCCACCGGCATCGCCTCGCAGCGGCCCCGGGGGAGCAGGGCTGGCCGGGGCCCCTCGCCCCCGCGGGCCCGGAGCGGGGCTCGGCTTAGGCACCGACTGCCGCCGAGCAGCCGTCCCCTGACGGGCTTGCTGCCTGCCGTGCTTGCTTGGATGAGTCTGCGACATGCCTAATAAGAGACGAGATGGGCCAGGGCGACGAGAGCGACCGCATTGTGATCAACGTGGGAGGGACTAGGCACCAGACTTACCGCAGCACCCTGCGCACCCTGCCCGGCACGCGGCTGGCCTGGATCGCTGAGCCCGATGCCCACAGCCACTTTGACTATGACCCCCGCACGGATGAGTTTTTCTTTGACCGGCACCCGGGCGTCTTCGCCCACATCCTGAATTACTACCGCACTGGCAAGCTGCACTGCCCCGCGGACGTGTGCGGACCCCTGTATGAGGAGGAGCTGGCCTTCTGGGGCATCGATGAGACCGATGTGGAGCCCTGCTGTTGGATGACCTACCGGCAGCACCGCGACGCCGAAGAGGCTCTGGACAGCTTTGGTGGGGCTCCCCTGGATAGCAGTGCTGAGGACGGAGACATAGATGGCACCGGAGACTCTGGTGATGGTGAAGATGAGCTGGAGATGACAAAACGCCTAGCACTTAGTGACTCCCCAGATGGCAGGTCTGGGGGCTTCTGGAGACGGTGGCAGCCCCGCATCTGGGCACTCTTTGAGGATCCCTACTCCTCCAGATATGCAAGGGTAAGCTCTGCAATCAGCACCCTCATCAAAACACTCCAGCCTCCCTGTAGTCCCACTTCCAGCATCACCAGGGTTCTCTCCTCTGTCAGAGCAGAGCATCCATGTGTGTGGCCATACAAAAATCACGTGGGGTCTATGGGGATGCAATCCACACTCAAGCAGGCCCCATGCATGGGGAACAGGTAGGCACCAAGGCCTGAGCTTGTGTACTCAGATGTGGGCCTCCAGAGACCCTTGTTTTCTAATAGGCTCCTAAAACTCCCAGAACAGCTTGGGGCAGGGTCCCGGTCATAGGCCAGAGAGGTCTCCATTACACCAGGTAATTTCCCTCTGTGCATAGACGTTTACAGTCAGACATCCCCCAGTAAAGACAGACACCTTGTCCAGCCCTCTTACAAGCTAATGGCTCTCTCCCCTTTACGAGATGGGGAAAGGATTATGGGAGCAGGCATTCCCAGCGGTATCAGGGGATTTGGAGAGTTTCAACCCGGACTGGAAAGGGAGTCAGTGCCTTTCTCTTTTCTCATATATACCAAGTTAAATATTTATGAACATGTTTCTCTGAAAATGGGATATTCAGCTGCTAACTCTGTGTCTTTTTCCCTTGTGGGAAATGCAAAGTATTAATCAGAGGAAAAGGTTTCATTCATGTAGAAGGGACACAGTGTTTGACAGGTTTCTTGCCTGCTACTGAAGGACAACTCCTCCCCTCCTGGTGCCTGCGGTTGTTTTGGAAAGGGAATGCACACTGGTGCAGCTCACAGCATAGGTGTGGATAAAAATGGTCTGTAACAGTCATTCGACTGCTTTAAGTAGGCACCTCCTCATGCTATGAGAATAATTACATTAATTAGGGCCTGACTCTGCTCCTGAAATCAAAAGTCTGAAAACATTTGCTTGAGGAACAGCAGCAGGATTAACTCCCAAGACAGTCAATTTGATAACTAGGGAAAAAGATAAAGAAATTGGTTGGCATAGGCTCTACTCTTAAATGTACCTTTGTTACAAGCATAATTTCTGCCAGCCCTCCAGTAAGGATGAGTGGTGCTTTGGTGGGGGAGGGTGATCAGTGTTCCTGAGAAAGATCAAAGAAGTGAGATCAGATTAGGGAGAAAATTGGATGGATGGATGGAGGAAAGAGAAGTGGAAATGCAAGGAGCAGGGAGAGGGGAGCTGGCCGTGTATGAATGGGTGGTGGAATAGCAGCTGCCGGAGACTTGGTCTGAGCAGAGATCTCCAGCAGGGAGACACCAGGTCTGCAAACTGAATGAATGGGGAAAGCTGGAGCAGAGCCTGGAGTTATATCTTGCTGCATTTCTAAAGATTCTTGTTTGCACACCATTTGGAGACTTCCTCCCTGAACAAAGGAGTTCATGTTTTAAATTAATTCCTTTAAACAGCATGGAGTATAAAGGAATAATAGAATATTTACCACAAGATGGAAAGATGATGCTGTTGTATTGCAGCTTTCAAATCCCTGATTTCTGCCAAGAGAACAAGGAAAGGGAAAGGCAAGGCTGGAGGGTATCCTTCAAAATGCTTGGTTTCCATTAATCAAGCCCGGTGTTAGCAGGCAATGTGAATAGCAGATCTCTCTGGTACCCAGGAATCTGTTGGTAAAACACATTGCAAGTGAAAGTAATGTGCTTGTTCAAGGTTTTGGGAAATGGTTTGAAAGCCAAATGGATAATGTTGTCCCATTGAAAAGGATATAGAGGTTAAAACATCCTTTTGCTTGGAGGCATTATAATATTTTAGGAGAAGCACAAACCAATATTAGGAGTCTTTGTGATGCACAGGCTGGAATTCTAGAAGGATATAAATTCTCTAAGGGTATTTCCATTTAGCAATAGGTGTTTTATAAAATGATTTGGCATTGTTGGGGGTTTTTTGTGAGTGGATGATGTACCATTTATTCACAATCACTTGTGCATACCTGTTAGAATTCAGCTCCTGATTTACCTCTGACTTGTTCTTTCCTTAGAGGATTGTTAAGACTAGATAAATATGAGTACTCTGAATATTTCATGGGTTAAATATGATTCTTTAACGTGTATCTATGGAGACGTAGGCCACATGCATTAATATTTTGCATGAAGGAAGATGGCTTTCCTCATCAACACATGCACACACTGTCCATTAAGAAGACATTATAGGACACTTAACATTTCCTTATAAAAGCCATAATTTATGGTTATGGATGTAAAAAGAGATGGGAGCTTGATTTATGCTCCTGCAACCTAACACAGACATTGCAAAAAGACCTGAAGCTCACAATAGCTAATTTATAGTAAAATAATTGATAACATCATTAACAAGTGAATGGTATATTAAGGCAATTATTGGTAGAGTCAGGCAACAAATCCACTGTTACTCCACTTCTAATTGGGTCCGCTACTTTCAGTTACAAACTGCAATTCAGTTGTCCAAAAATCTAAATTCACATTGCCATTTTGTCAAAAAAAAACCCAAAACAAAACAAAAAACAAAAAAAAAAAAAAACCCAAAAAAAAAAAAAAAAAAAAAAAAAAAAAAAAAAAAAAAAAAAAAAAAAAAAAAAAAAAAAAGCCCACAAAATTTTCTCTTCCTAAAAGGAATTGGGACCTGTACTAAGGGTGGTTATTACACACCTTTAAGGTTTAGATATGGCACCAAAATGCATGTCAAAATAACATCTCAATGTAAGCATCAGTTTACATAACCATTATAGTGTTACACTTGGGCAAGTAAAAAGGAATACAGTCTCTGAATAATAAGATTAAATGAAAATCTGCATCTCTGTATAAAGTGAGATTCTCTGGACTGTATCTGGTATGCTAGATCAGTGAATGTTTAGGAGCTGTCTATGAAAAGCTCAGCATTTACTCAAATCCAGCCATTCTTGGAGGATTTTGATGGACGCTGCTTGCAAATACAAGTACATTTGACTGTTTTGCTTCACCTCCACCTGACTCATACTAAATTACTTCTGATCTCGTAGACAGCCAGGGAAGACTGGAAATGCATTTGTGTACGTCAGGCAGAATCAGCTAACTCTGCAAATTTTGTTTATTTCTTACTTCGATTAAGCAAAGCTCCTAGTCACTAATCATTTGTCTTGAGGTGCAACATAGTCAACAGTTGTTTCTTAAAACAATAGTAACTGATTTTAATTAATTTCAAGTTTTCTCCACGCTAATTTCTTAATATGTAGTTCTTTCTAAAAAGAGGAAACACTTCAAAAATTGCATAATCTTCTATATCTGTAATAAGAAAAGATAGTTTGTTTCAAATGATAGACTGCCTTAGACACCTGTCTTAGTAAGATAAACAGGTATTACACTTCTCCTTAATCTAAAGAATCCACATTTGGATATCAAGGCAAAATCTTGTGCTGGGAGATCTGAACAGACTAACAAAAGGTGATGGGAAAGATCCAGGGATCCAGGAGGATTGTGTTTCTTTGAAGCTCATAAGAACTGTCCTTTTTGCATCATCAGACAACTTTGTAAATTTATTTTTTCTGAGTAGGCAGAAAGGGGGAAATAGAGTCAGCCAGAAAGCTATGCTAAGGCAGCAGAGAGTTACACTGTGGTACAGTTCCTGCCCTGTGTACTTAGTAGACTTCATAGGTTCCTCGGTACACAAATGTGTGAAAAATATTTTCTTGGCATCCTCTCTCCTTTATATTTATGTCTGGTCATGCTGTTCTTCCACTAGTAAAGCTCCCACTGACTTCCTGGTGAGTTTGGCCTGCAGGTATCTAACATATTTATTCCCCTTCCTCCTGCACAGCAGGATAAGGTTGTATTTGTGTTAATTCACATTCCTTGGGTTACTCAGAGTTTGAGAATGAGGAGCTTTGAGCTGAGATTGTGCGCTACTGCTCACATTCAAATTGGACAGTTAAGCTTTTTTAATGAACTCTCAGGCAAGATTTTGTAGTCCTTCCAAATAAATCTTTTTACTGTTTTTTAAATAAAAGCTGGTTAGGGTCCTATGGAAAGTCCTCAACAGCTTGACTTGCAATCCTGGCGTATGCTGTACCACTTTGATCTGTAAGAGGAAAAGCAAAACTCGCACTCACCCTTCCCTCATGTTTCCCCTTCACATCCTGCAGAAGAATCTGCTTTCCTCAGTGGGTGACTTTTGAAGGACAAGTTTCTGACACTGAGAAGGAGACAGGAAAAAGGATAGTGGAAAAGAGATGAGAAAAAGGTATTCCCCAGGGATTTCTTCTAGCTTTCTTTTGTACATTCAAGAGCATTTCAACCTTGCTGTGTAGATTTGAACTGATTTTTCTCTATATAAAGAACAACTCGTAGGTATGAAAAGGCTTATGGGATCCTAGTTCCTGAATAACCACACTGTCTTGAGGATTAGAGCCTGGGGTGATCCTGCTCGTTCCTTACCCCTGGCCAGCAGAGTTTAGCTCAGGAATTGAGGCAGATCTCAGGGAGTGGGAACAGATACTCCTCATTCTTCACAAGGGGAGCTTATTCCATGGATGTGTGATGCGGGACACGCTTGGCACAGGAGCACTCCACAGACAGCGGTCTGGGGCCTCCCACCAAGCAGCAGCAGCAGACAGGGACAGAGGGGATGAGAGCTGCCCTGCTCGCTTCCCTCTACCCTCCTAGGGACAGCTTCCAAGGGGCCCTGGGGGAGCTGCTGCCCCCCACCTTGAGCCTTTCTGGAAGCTGCCTCCTGCAGAGCCATATCTAATCCTGCACTGAAGCTGGCTGCAGGAATTCTCACCATATACTGTGACAATTAACGAGACAGCCTAATTTTAACTGCACGCTGCATTACAGCTCTGGAAAAATTAGAATCTTTCCACATCAAATGAGGTTTCCCTTGCACTTGTAGTATAATGAAATTACAGATATATTAACTACCATTCTATCATTCATTATTAAAATAGTTCCTAAAATTCCATTTTATTCCTATTTTCTCCCATCAAGGAACGTTACTGCAAATCCTTATATAACCCACGGTAAGCATGGTAGTCTTCTCTGCAT